GCATGTATTATGAGGTCATGAAACTGAATGATGTCCTTAAACGACCGCTTGAATTCATTTCTCCAGCTCTTTTATTTAATGGTAAACTATGCTTATATTATGCTTGCATGAAAGAAGCAGATTTTGATGCCATCAAAGAAGAGAAGCTGACTACATTTCCGGATATGGCAAAACTTTATGAGGAGCTGTTATCAGTATGCAGTGCTAGAGAGGTTTCTAAGGGCAGCTCATCTCATAAAACAAGCAAGGAGAAGCATAAGCAATCTGCAGTAGCATCAAAGAAGACTTACAGTACACCAGTTAGTACTGCAAATCGTTTTGAACTCCTTGATCTTGACAGTGATGATTCTGATGAAGATGATTCCAATGAAGAAAACTAACATGATAATGCTTGGCTTTTTAGTTTTGCTACTCTTTTAATGACAATGAATTTATTTTTGTATACATTAATAAGTGGGTGTAATAAAGTGTACGTGTGGCTTCTTTAAGGGTGTGGCTGCTCTTCTGCGTATATACGCGCACTTACCTGTAAAATTCTAGGCTACTATTATGGGTATCAAGGGCCTTACAACCTACATGCAAAAGAATTACAAATGGAAAGAGATAGGAAAAGATTCTCCGCTAAGAGGACCGTTGCTGGTAGACGGCATGAGCTGCTGTTACTCTCTCAATGATGGGATAGACTGGACATATGGTGGCCAGTACAAAGAGTTTGATCAGAAATGTAGGGCTTTCTTGACCAACCTAAAAGAATCCGGTATAGAGCCTACTCTTGTATTTGATGGTGTGGATTACAAAGGAGAGAAAGCCCCAGTCATTCTAAAAAGGAGAAAGGAGACAGCAGAATGCATTCAATCTCTGCTTTTATATGGTAGCTATCCTAAACATGGTCGTTCATGTTTGCCGGTCTTTGCTAAAGTAGTCTTTATGGAGGTATTAAAAGAATTTGGGATTCCCTTTATCGTTGCTGATGGAGATGCAGATAATTTGACTGTGTCCATAGCAAACTTTTATGGCTGCCCGGTTCTCTCTAGTGATTCTGATTATTACATTTTCGATGTTAAAGGCGGTTACATACCTTTTGAGTACTTCTACTGGGAGTCAAAACCAATAAATGCAAAAATTTATCACTTGAGCAATTTCTCTGCAACCTTTTGTGCACATGACCCTGAGATTATTTATCTGATACCAGCACTTATTGGTAATGATTTTCTTAAGCCTCCAGACATACCGGTAGGAGGAAATGCTATGAATACTGATGAATTGGTTGCATATATTGCTTCTTTGTCCTCTGTTGAGAAATTTCTCCCTAGGTCCTGCAAGTCAGAGCAAGTGTTGTCTATCAGAGAAAACTTTGAGAAGGCAAAAGATATGTACAAAGTTCATAAAATAACTATGGATGATGCCAGAAAGAGCACAGAGTTAAAGACAGCCTGTGGGACACCACTACCCTTGTGGATACTCGAGCAATATCGTGACGGATGCTTCTCAACCTCAGTACTAGACCCAATGATTCTCAAAAAAATTATCCTACCAATGATCATTGATAATCCTAAAAAAGAGTCCAGTATGAAGATTGGCAAGCCTCTAAGGAAATACTTGTACGGCTTATTACAACAATATCTAAAGGTACAAAAGGTTTTTAAAGAAGGAATGCGTGTTGGTCAATGTGATATACATTTTAAGCCAGTCAAACCAGCCCAGTGTCTAATCACAGATTTAGACTCACTAAGAGATGAAGAGAGACTTGAATTGCTTTGTGGTATATTTGGAGTCCTGCCAGATGAATTGGGCCAGTTTGAAAATAAATGGAAGCTGGTTGCATTGTCCTTGCATTACTGGAGCAGGAATGCTGAGGGCCTTACTCAACAACAGATTGATTCTCTTCTCTTTTGCTTTGTAGTTTGTTCCAGTGAGGAAGGAAGAGATGTCATAAGTGAATCTAATTTTCAAGGTAGAAGGTCAAGACAGTTTACTGATGAGCAGCTTGACAACCTCCATTCTTTCTCAATGTGGCAATGCGTGTATTATGAGGCCATGAAATTGAATGACTTCCTCAAACGACCGCTTGAATTCACTTCTCCTGCTCTTTTATTTAACGGTAAACTATGCTTAAGTTATGCTTGCATGAAGAAAGCAGATTTTGATGCCATCAAAAAAGAGACACTGACTACATTTCCGGATATGGCAAAACTTTATGAGGAGCTGTTATCAGTATGCAGTGCTATAGAGGCTTCTAAGGGTAGCTCATCTCATAAAGCAAGCAAGGAGAAGCATAAGCAACCTGCAGCAGCAGCAAAGACTTACAGTACACCAGTTAGTACTGCAAATCCTTTTGGGCTCCTTGCAGATCTTGATGAAGAAAACTAATTATGATGTCTGGCTTTTTAGTTTTGTTATTTTTAGTGACAATTATATTATTTTTGTATGCTAATCTTTTAATTCTTGCAAAAATTTGTATAGAAACATTAATGTGAAGAACTTTATGCATA